GTCAAGTAGTCTTCAATAGACTAATTTTATTCGTTCTCTCTCTCTCGTTCGTTTGCTCTGTGCTGCACTCGAAAAAAATCAAATTAAATTAAATATGTCAGTATTGTAAACAAGCTCAACTTTTAGTTACAAATCAATAAACTTCTACAAAAGCCACAGCAGCCTTTGAAGTACGCAAAGGCAAAACCTTCCCGCCCTCACTTACTTACTTACATTTCCAATAGCATTGGCAACATTGCGTATACGCAATGTGGCAATTTGTAAGCTGCTTCATATGAGTGTGCGTGTGTGTTTTGTTACTGGATTTTTAGGGCATGAAATCAATACATGCACACAAATATATATATAGAGCAACAATTGCTTTTGAAAGCAACAAAGTTCTTAGCTTTGATATTTGTACTCAAATAAATTGCTTGGCTAGCTTTTGAAATTGAAACCGATTGAGATGTGGAGCGACATATATTATTTTGGTTTATATATAAAGCTTAAACGTATAACTGTTTAGCAAAAACAAGTTAGTTGTAGTTTTAATTTTACTATAACAGAACATTATTCCTTATTATATTAAAAGATTTTAAAGTATTTTTGAATCTTTTTCTCGATTTAAGGTTCGAATTGTTTAACTAGTTTTTCACAACCAGAAAACCTGGTTTTATTCCAGATTCTTCATATATTGCTGTAGTATTTTAAAATGATAGTAAATATAATTGATTATTTTTTATAAAGCAAATTCTTCTTGTTTTTGTCAATTCTACTTACAATTTTACTATTAAATAAATTCGCATTTTGTAAATTATGAATAGTTAGCACCACTTGAACCAATCTGGTCAGGTTCACTAAAAGCAACAAACTCACTGTGAGGCGCCATAAGAGAGTAAAGCTCACTCAAGTGAAAGCGTTGATAAGTGCAGCGTGCAACACGCGGCGTATGCGTAATGTGTCAGCCAAGGGGCGGCTGTGTAATTGGACGTCAAATTGTTTCTGATGGCCACGTTAAAAGTTCAGTTGTGTGTGAGAAGTTGCACACGTACTAAGGCCTGCCGCTTGGGTCCTAGGCATAATACCAATACAGAAGTTTCTTTTGATTTTCTCGCGTGGGGAATCGGCTAAAAACTGTTAATTGAGTTGCAGCCATCGGTGCGAAAATAAATTATGAGAAACTTGTACGTGGCTGGCACCATAAATTGGTAAAGTTTTGCACGGCTCCAGCGTACGATGTCCATGACGGGTTCAAGGCCATCCGTTAGGCCAGCTATTTATGTGATTGACTTGGCCTTATAGCGATTTATTTTTGATTACTCGCATGTGTCTCACGTCTCACCTAGCAGGGCTTCAGTTTTTAGTCCCTTACCCCAATTCGGGTTCGTGTTGTGTGGGGCTATTCGTATTTTTGGGCGTGAGCCTAAACGCAGCTGCCAAAGCGTAAACTTGTGTTTGTGTGCGGGGTGTGGCTTGAAGCTAAATATTGTTGCCGCTGCATTGATTTTAGCCATGCGTTAGGTTCCTGTGTTTCCAGAAGTTCAACAAAGATTTATGCACACAAATATTTCTTAACAATTAACTTGGGCTACAAATAGCTCTTAACGCTCTTAAAGAAAATTCACATTCATCTCTATATATAAAACTGTTTGTCCTCACTCACTGACTGACTGATGGGTGATCAACACACAGCCCAGGTAGTTACCTTACCGGGATTCCTTAAATTCCAACACATGTGTGGAAAAATCGCGAAAAATATTTTTATGAAACTGATTTGCTAAGATATTTGTTCAAATTCATTATCAAACAAGAGGTTCTAGTCGGGAGCTCCCGACTAGGGGATACCCTGAACCCTCTAAAATAAATTAAAAAAAAAAAGTTCCCTTAGCAGGGTTTGAACTCTCAACTGAGCGCATTACTTGCTGCCGCCTCTACGCAACAGCCACACCAGCCAAAAAAAAAAGTAGTCTCCTCGGCAGGGTTCGAACTCGTAACTGACCGCGCTACTTTCCGCCGCCCCTACTCAATAGCCACACCAATAATTAAGTCTTAATGAGAAAAATGCGAATTTGAAATAGGAGCACAGAAAACAATGCAATCGCAATTGCAATGATGTTGATAGAATTCAAAGAAGACGCGTAAAAGGGTGGAATTTGCGCTTGCTGCTGAACGTGTTTGCAGGCCAAAACACATTTTCTTTCGTGTTTCTTAACCGATGAAATTTTCAGTAGTATATCTTATTATACTATAAAATATTCGTGTATTCTCAAAATGATAATTGCATTTTAATTGTGGTTTAATTAGATAGGCAATACAAGTTGGCTTACTAACATGATTATTAGCTTTTTGGTGGTAGCGGGGAGGTGGGGATAGCTATAAAATTAAACATACATACATATATATACTATTCTAGAAGCTAGAGTCTAGAAACAGGGCAAGTTATCGAATACCGGAAACAAACTCGATCTGCGCGGTTACTAGCAGGACATGCAGCTAAAATTTCAAGTCTCTAGCTCTTACAGGTTCTGAGATCCTTGCGTTCATACAAACGGACGGCTCGGCTATTGATGCTGATCAAGAATATATATACTTTATGGGGTCGGAGATGCTTCCTTCTGCCTGTTACATACGTTTGCACAAATACATTATACCCCTTTTACCCATTTTCAATGGGTTCAAGGTATAAAAATGCTTTCCTCCTTGGTGAAAATGGCAGTCAAAGATTTGGTGGGTGACGTTTCGAGTTCAAATTTATTTCAAAAGATCTATACGAAAAATCATTTGACACGTATTGCACACTTTTCGCAGAATCAAAGCTTCCTCGGTGGAAAATGGGATTGAAAGTTTTGTCGGATTTGCATCAAACTTAATTTTAAAGCTCTACATAATGTGGAAGGCTTTACTGTTATTTTACCGAATAGCAAATCAGACACAGCGTAGTTCTTTTTACTTCTTTATTGTTCTTCGCGCGATACAGAAACCAACTCTCTCGTACACAATAATATTATATAGCATGATAATGTTAATGCTTATGTTAAAGTGTGTGAATGACAATGTTACATGTGACTGAGTGATGTATGTATGAATGTATATCCATGTTGCCATGTGTGTTTATCCTGCTACAATAAGAACTTAATGAATAATTAGCGAAAAACGCTTGTATGAAAGTTTTTTTGCTTACCATTCGAACGGCTTCAAAATCATTTTCAAAAATCTTTATGAGAATTTATTTGATACGTTCTTGGGTGACAAATGCGGGTCAAACGAAAGTTTATTCTTCATTTTCAAGATTCTCACCGCAAGACTAACTTGGGTGGAAACACTTGATTCTTTATTGTTATATTGCACTTAAAACATATATTTAAATGGAAGTGGAGATCAAGATGGCTAGAGTTTAATTTTCAACGGGCGTTTACGTAGTGGAAGGGTTATATCTAAAATTGTTAGCACTAAACGTTCCACGGGCAAGGCCGGGCAATACCCGCTAGCTATTCTTATATTCTGATTTAACATATAAATATAGTAATACTTTTAAAAAAAGCATAAATAAGATTTTACAAAGTTTTTGAAAACATTTCTTAAATACTCTTCTACTAAAAAACTCTTTCTATTAAATCTTTTTTTTCTTTTTTTACCCTGAACCTATTGAAAATGGGTAAAGAGGGTATTATGTATTTTCGCAAATGTATGTAACAGGCAGAAGGAAGCATCTCCGACCCCATAAAGTGTATATATTCTTGATCAGCATCAACAGCCGAGTCGATCTAGCCATGTCCGTCTGTCTGTCTGTAGCTTCTGGAATAGTATATATGTATATATAAAATTTCTTTAATTTTATACCTATCGCCTGTTGGAAGAAGAGGGTTCAGGGTATCCCCTAGTCGGGGGCTCCCGACTAGAACCTCTTACTTGTTAATATTCACAATTTGTATTTATTTCTCAAGTATCATATATTTTTGTCAAAATTGTATTGAATATATTTTTGGCGATTGATGATAATAAACTTCCTGGGAATTGTAGTTTATTAAAGAAAGTATAGTTGAAGAAAGTCTATATCAGTCTCATAGATAACGATCCCTAGTGATTGTTCATTTAGAATATTAAATGACATTTTTAAAGATAACAATGCCTATCAGGAATAATACTAACGCTTATCAATTACTTGCAGTGCCCAAAAGTAGGCAACATCAATTCTCATCCAATTACGATAGGTTATTATTTATCTTCTAAACAACTGACTCATATATAGCCATCCATAAATAGTCACCAAACTCATTGATAAGCGCCAAAGAAACCAACAAATGTAAACAAAATTTTATTTTAAAAAAAAATTAACAAAAAACTGACTGGATTTGATTTCTTATAGAGTGGGCTAGCTGAAAATTCAAAGACAGCAGCAATAAATGAAAATGATAAGATAACTCATTGAATTGTTGATTTTGGTCAAGTAATTAAGAAGATTGCTTAGCTTAGGGGCAAATAATTTTAAAAGCAATTAAACTAAGAGACTTGGGAAATGCGTTCGTGACACGAATAAAAACAAACCGATGAATATGCGAAAAATTCATATATTAAGTTTTCTATAAAAATCAAATATTGTCTACGCAACTTGTAATAAATTGCGAAAATAATCAACCCTAGTGTGTTGCACATTAATTTTAGGATATAAGCTAAGTGATTTTCCGAGTTATAAGCGTAAGATACATTTGAATTAGCTATAAAATAATTATCAATAGCTTTTATTCAAATTGTCTGGGGTTTATTTAAAGCTAACTTTTATATAGTTAATTATTACTTTTTTTTAACATTTTTTATATATTATTATTCACCAACTAGATGGTAGTATATGCCTCTTTAGGATCACGTAGTCAACTCTATTTTATTTGTATCTATTGTTTTGCTTATGTGTCGTAGATATTGTTATCACTGAAGAAGCAACTCTCAAGACTGATATGGCACATGTTGATAAAGTCGTCAGTGAGTTGTGCAAAAAAAAAATTTCGAGTGTTTAGTCACAGTTGAGGCGTTGCCATTGAAAGTCGTTTGAAACGCGAGTGAGCACAATGTGTAAATATTAAATGTATATGAATTTCGAGTGTGAGCGTGTCTGTGTGGAATGTGCAGAACATGTTCTGTTATCGATATCTTATCGTAATTTGTGCGATTGCGTGCACAAATGCTCAGATCATACCGCTATCGAGCTATTGCCATCATGTCCATGAGTGGTGCACCTGCGAGCCGCAGGCGAATCTGGTGCGCGTCTATTGCCGGGACGAGTATGCCATGATCTTACAGATCACGGACACGGGCAACAATATTGCGATGAGCTATTATGCGAATGGCGAAATACACTGGCTGCCGCGCCTCAATGTCAGCGAGGTGGCACAGTTTGAGTTTGATGCCTATAATTATTGGTCGGAGACATTTTTCCGGGAGCTACTGAATGCCCTGGGCGTGCAGCAGGTATTGAGCATACAGTTTCGTGATCGGAGTATGGAATCCGAATTTGGGCTGAAGCCCAATGATGATGATGATGTCTATAATTTGAGAGAGGAGTCGGCTGGCACCAATGTGAGCACCTGGATTTTTAGTGAGGTGCCCCGGCTGCAGTACTTCAAATACGAGAGCACTCAGCGTGTGCTAAATGAGTCAATTTTCTATGCATTCGATAATTTGACCACATTGGAGCTGCGTCTGGCTGTGCGTTATTTGCCCTCGCGGCTCTTCGCCAGCATTGCGCATAGCCTGCAAATCCTGTCCATTTGGAATCCGCAAATGTTCCACTTTGAGCCAGCCCTACTGGACGAGCTGCAACAGCTGCGCAATTTGAGCCTAAAGCTGGCGTTGCCACCCGAGGATCGAATCAAACCGCGGCTTCATTCGCTCTTCATCTCCATGCAACAGCTGGAGGAGCTGCGCTTGTCGCGTGCCAACAGCCATGTGAATGCCACCATGCTTAAGGGCAGCTACAATCTGCGCCTTATTGGCATCAATCAGAATCCGGAGCTGACCGAGCTGCCCAGTGAACTGTTCGTCGATCAGGGCAATCTTACGCTGCTCGATCTATCCTGTAATGGGCTGTCCAAGCTGCCAACGGATCTGTTCAATGGCCTGGTCAAATTAAAAGTTTTGGATCTATCCAACAATAGGCTAACAAGCTTATCGAGGTGGGTGCCAATTGTTTCGACTGATTAAGAAAAAGCACAACTCACGATAGCAAGAAGTCAAGAACTTCTAATAAAAATAAAATATATGAATGTCTTCTGTTTAACAGTGCTTGAGAAAAAATATTGCCTTTTCAAGACTGAACAACTAACACATCATACACTCGGAGAAAACGCTAAGAATCAAAAGAAGTAGACAAGTTTTTATTTCAAAAATAATTTTCAGTCCGGTTTTGAAAGTATTTTAAATACAATTTATATTAAATGAAAATATTTTATGCTAATATCATTCATTCAAGTACCAATTTTTTTTTTAATTTAATCCAATATAATTAATTGTTTTTTTTTTTTGTAAACTAATGGTTCATATTAAAGTTAAGATTATTACAGAGTGCGGCGTACGTAATTATATAAAATCTAGCTCGTTCGTTTTTCTCCGAGTGTAAGAGTAGAGTAGACTGTTTAAACTTTTCTCGGAGATAATTATATATATTAGACATTTCTTATATATATATATATTAAACTCATAGTTGAATATTAGGTAATTTTATTAGCGAAAATTCTTTTTAATATTTCAACTAAATTTCTTAAGTATTTGATTTATAACTTAACTTAAAAGTTCATAAATAATAGACATATCTCAATTGTAGTGTAAATACTGCGGATAAATAGATACAATAGACTCCTGCGTTAAAATAAAATGCTTAACGCTTAGTTACTTAAACTTAGATTTATGAGTGAACGTCAACACCTATTAATTACTCATGTAATTAAAAAGTAATTAGACGCGAATCGTATTCGCAAATATTAGTTTAAATTACTAAAAATGGTTTTTAGTTACAAAATATATATAAGTAGCAAAAAAGATTTCCAGTAGTCAAGATCAAGCTAGATTGACTAAAAATATTTGTAGGATTATTAAGTATATCTTTTTCTTTTTACCACTTACTAACCCACATTGATCCACAGTGAACTGTTTACAATGCTGACATCGCTCTCTAGTCTGCTGCTCAATCAAAATTCGCTGACCTCTCTGGATCCGATCACGTTTGGGAACGTGCGCAGTCTGGACTTTATCGATATGCGCGGCACCCAGTTCTATGGAGTAAAACTCTGGATGCCCTTTGAGGCGTTGGTGTGCACCAACGATGACATCTGCCAGTACAAGTCGGCGGATTGGGAATGCGATCCACAGTGCATTTGCTGGGTGCAGCGGGAAACGCTGCAGCTCTTTGTTGACTGTCGGGGAGCGGCGATGACGGAGCTGCCACTGCTGCCGCAAACAACGCTGGTACGGACAACCCTCAAGTTGATGAACAACAGCATTAGCCAGCTGCCGGAAGCCAGTGGCATTGTCGGCTATGCCAATGTCAGTCAACTGAGCCTTGCCGATAATCTGCTGGTTAGCTTGGATGGTGCCAGCCAACAGCTGCCGGGCAATCTCAGCCTGCTGGACGTGCGTCGGAATAGGATAAGTGTATTTGATCAGGACTTTATCGATTATCTGGCCAATAATACCATGAATCTGGCCATAGGTGGCAATCCATTGAGCTGTGATTGTTCCGCCCTGCCGCTGTTGGGATTTGTGCGTGCACAGCCGCAGCGTGTCCAGGATATGGGTGATATTTACTGCAGCGGCCGGCCAGAGAAACCATTCCAGCAAATGGAGGTGGGCGAGCTGTGCCCCTCGTATATTCTGCTCATTGGCTGCATTCTGGGTGGCCTCGTGATTGTCATCTGTCTGATTAGTGTGGTTTATCTCATCTATCAGCAGGAGCTCAAGATATGGCTCTACAATCACAACTTTTGCCTATGGTGGGTATCCGAGGAGGAGCTGGACAAGGACAAGACCTATGATGCCTTCATCTCCTATTCGCACAAGGACGAACAGCTGATTGCCCAGCTGCTGCCCAAGCTGGAGAGTGGCCTGCACGCCTTTCGTGTTTGCCTCCACGGTCGCGATTGGCTCGTTGGCGACTGCATTCCCGAACAGATTGTGCGCACCGTTAACGACTCAAAGCGTGTGATAATTGTGCTCTCGCAGCATTTCATCGATTCCGTTTGGGCGCGCATGGAGTTCCGCATTGCCTACCAGGCGACGCTGCAGGATAAACGCAAACGCATCATAATTATCCTGTACAAGGAGCTGGAACACTTCGAGGGCATCGATAGCGAGCTGCGCGCCTATCTCAAGCTCAACACCTATCTCAAGTGGGGCGATCCACTGTTCTGGAGCAAGCTGCGCTATGCCATGCCCCACAATCGGCGCGTGCTCAAGGGACAGAAGAAGCACGTGGGCCCACTCATCTGATATGTTCCCAAAATATATCAAATTTTGGTTAATTAAACACTTTAGTTTTAGTTATTTTTGGTAAGCTTATGCTATAAATTTAAGTAATCTAATCTTAACTCGTTCTAAGATAATTTAAGATACTCGATAGGGAATTCTAATTTATAGCATAGCTTATATTTGTTTAATTAAATTTAAAGAAAATATTTTATAATATTCTTTAGTGGGCATTCGCTTTAACTTTTTTAAGATTTTTAACCAATTTTTGAGAGTCCTCGAAGTACTTTAAACCCATTACGAATCGTAATTCGGCATAGTTATAAACATTTTGTTTTAGTTTATCTAATAAAATAAATTTATCTGAGATAACTATTTACAGTTTTCTAAAATAAAATGTTTCAAGTTAGTATAAAACAATCCAGAGATCTGGCATACTGACATACTAGTGTTTACATATTCTTCTTTACCGTCAGGATTTTACAGTTTTATATATTTGTCTTTTATATTTATTAATTTTATTTATCATATAAAATAAAAATAAATATATGAAAATAAATTTAATAAAATTTAATAATAAATACATAAAGCCGGAAAATCATGAAAAATTGAATATCTCTGAATTAGTTTAAATAATTTCTATCTAAATAAACATAGAACCGAATTCTTTATCTTGACCTATAATATAAAAACTCATTCAAATTTGGATAGCCTAAAACGGCGTGAATGCTGCTTAAATTTGTCTTCTGCTTCTATTGTCTTCTCTTACCTCACTGAAATTAATGGTCCCTTTGAAATTGTTTTATTGTTTCGTCTTTTACATTTTTAATTAAATTCTTATACGCAAAATATTTGGTTGTCATAAAGTGTGTGAGTCACTTTCTATACACATAAGAAACAGTTGTGAAGATTAAGGCACATATTTTATATTTAATTTTCGAGAGCTGACAGCAAGCCAGAGAATTGGCTTTTATGCCATAAATTTGGAAATTTGGAAATTTGTAAAGAAAATTATTTTTTATTATTCTCGTCTGTGCTGGCATAGGACAAATACTGTACCATATCTATAATCTTAAGTCTCTAATGTAAAAAAACTGACAGTATTACTGGTGGCATAGTTTTATATTTATTAAACTTGTTAAACAGGCATAACGAGTATTCCAATTAAAGAAACGAATTTTATAGAAACTAGCCAAGCCAAACTTAGTATTGAGTATCAAACACTGTTATAAATATGTTTACTGTCATACCGACAGCTATTGTACTGTTATATTTTTAGTATATTTATATATCAGTTTTAAAGTTGCCAATTTATATTAATTGCTTCATTTCAGTATTATATTATAGCTTGAACAAGCAATAAGCTCTAAACTGTTATACTTGTCAACATGTTATACTGTTATATTGTTTTATGTAAGATAATTATTCCTAATTGGCCACTTTATATTGTCATCGAACTCAACATCTCTTTAGTCTCTGACTGCTTTCCGTTCAATAAACTAACTTAAATATTTATTCAGCCACATGCTCCCAAAACTTGCCTAGCGCCAAGGTCAGACTCTAATTATCCACTTCAGTAATGTTGGTTGCCTTCAAAGAGTCGAGGACAGAGATTGGGGACAGACTGGCAGAATAGAGAGAAAGGGCCACCACCAGCCCAGCGCTAGTGGCAGCCAATTTTCAAGCAGCCAGTGAATATAGGAAAAAAATTTGAAAAAAAACACACATTTTGCCAAGTCTCGCTTTTACGCTGTCAGCCCTTTTGGCTACAATTGCTTGGCCTTTTGGGCATCAACTTTCATTGCAAGTGTGTGTGTGTGTGTGCGTGTGAGTTCAAGTGGGTCTGGAAGATTCATTGGCCGCCCGCCGGCCAACATTTCGTGGGCGTTTAAAGTGTCATAAAGCAAATGCCATTCAGCGCAGACAAATCTTTTAAGTTCAGAGCTTACATTTTTAACACCAAAAAAACAAAATGCATTTGATATGAATTTGTATACCCTGAACCTATTCAAAATGGGTAAGAAGGAGAAGAAGACCTCATAAATAATATATTCTTGATCAGCATCAATAGCCGAGTCGACCTTGCCTTGTCCGTCCGTCCGTATGTATGAACTCAAGGATCTCAAAACCCATAAGAGCCAGAGACTTGAAATTTTTAATGTAGGTGCCCATGAAAATCGATTTCGAAATCATATTTTTGAGCAAATCGCGAAAGTTATCACCAAATTCTTCTTGATATCACTTTATAGCTATCGCCAACATTATACCCTTTTTACCCATTTTCCATGGGTTCAGGGTATATTTCTCAATATGAATATTTGATATCAAGTTACAAGGGATTCGTATCTACTCGATTCTATACAAATTTCAAAATTGCTTGCATTTTATTAAAGTTGAAACATTTTTTCTTTTGCTTCAACCAAAGCCCAACGACTCGGGAGAAACTAATGGAAATTGATTGCTGAGCTCACACCAAGCAGCTGCCGCGTACAATCATTTCAGCTCATTTTTCATATACATATGTATATATATATATATATATATATATATATATATGTATATATAAGAGGCTTTGAACCTATACCTTCTGCTGCTCCGGCGTAGTTATCAGAAACATCTGTTTGCAGCTGTTCTTCATTTATCATAGTTTTCGAAGCGGCAACTATAAAAATCAGTTTGTAGCTGCTGCAGCTTTTGGCCCTTTCAGCTCACCCAACCCTTTAACCCGGTGGACGGTCGTACGTGGCCTGCCCGGGCGTATACTATTTGCAAGACTGTAGCTGTTACCCCAAAACAGTTTCCAATAAACTGCCAAACCTCAAGTATGCAGCATAAAACTTAGATGCATAACACACAAGAGGTTTAAGCCGAACATTATAAGTTTGTCTATATACATTTGTGTGTGTGTGTGTGTAAGGGCGTGTGTGTGGGTGTGTGGGTGGCTGCTGTCAGTTCTCTCCATTTATTTGTTACTCATAGAAGGGCATAGACAGCGCGTCATTTGAGACATTCAACTAGCTAGACACAAATTATAATAAACGAGTATTATATGCGCGTATATGAGTACTATGAGTACATATACTCGATACCATTCAACATTATTTGCTGACAATTGCAACTGCATGTCAGCTGCAGTTGCATTACATTCGATTGTGGATCTCAATCGCATTTCGAAGGACTTTTCTGTGTGTTACAAACAAATCCACGGGACCGAAATGCTATGGGCTTGGCTTAAATTTCTTAGCCGGATTTGTTTGTAATTCACATAAAATTTCATAAATCTAATCAAGTTGCTTTCTATTTACGTTTTAAAGTATTTGCCTTTAATTTAATACTGAAATTAGAAATAATTGCAGCTAGTTTGGCTAATTGCTCTTTCAATGGTAAATTTGGGCTGTAATTATATACCCTATATACCCTAGAGAGTAGCTGAAGTGGGTATCATAAAGCGAATACTATTGCAATTATACATGATTTTCTTATTGGCTTCTTAAAGTTACTCAAGTGTATAATTTGATTCTATAAAGACATCTATTTTCTTGTTATATAGCCATATCTGTGCATCTGAGCACATTATTGTTTCTTGTACCCAAGTTTGATTTATATTTATATTTATTTGAGTAACAGAATATTGCTGTCGAATTCTATTGACTAGCATACCCTGCGCAATGTTCAATTTTGCAATTTGGCTTAAATTGCTGCAAATTGCTGTCTGATGTCTAACCAAGTTTACAGCTTTGCTTCGATTAAATAATTTGGCGAGTTGCCCACCTGTTCTCTACCTTTAACATTTAGAACTTGCTATATTTTAATGCAATTAAGTAATTTGAGCTCTGAATAGTTCAACTGATAACAGAGGAAGTGTCTCATGACACTGCCAGCAAAATAAATTTGATAACAAAATGCGAAAATTGAAATGTAATGCTGAAGCTTAGCGTTAAATTAAATTAGAAGTTGTTTGGCAGAACTAAAGGCAGAGCTAAAAGCAATTTTTATTTAAAAATATGAAAATATTTTATAATATTTTATATGCGTGCTTGTGGTATCAAGTGAACAAACAGCATATTTTGGAAAGGAACAACAGACCGTAAGCGCAAACATTTAATAAAATTTAATTACATAGAAATCTAATCAAAATTCAAAGTTCTGTTTGAACAATCAGCTTAAAGATGAACAGTGCAATGCGTATTGCTATAAAATAGTGAAACATCTGCTGCAATATGCTGCTTCGGTGCAAATGAAGGAACAACAGTATGTCGAGTTGCTAGAAAAAGTCCACGTACTTAATATAAGCGTAAGACATATGGAAGAAACGATTAGGGATAAGCAAATGCAATTGGAAATGCAACTTGAACTGAATAATATCCATAGAAAGAATGCCGCAATCACAGAGGAGTTGCTAAATTATAAAAATAGACAACTAAAAGAGCTAAAGGCTCAGATCGAACGCCATAAACTCGAAAAGAATACAGAATCTCTGGATAAGTCCTTAAATGGTCAGGCAGTACAATCCGAAGTTCTCTATAAGAATAATAATTACCTTGAATTGATTAGTACAGAAAATCGTCTACATTCTAAGGATAATGACGATAAGCTGGGAAAGCTTGTAAAAAACCTGGAAACTATATCAAAACTGAATTTTCCTACTGATAAATATCTGGCCAGCAATTGTCTAGGCAATTCAAATGATATATATATTTGTTAAAAGTGCCTGGCTTGGCGCCTTTTCCACTGCTCTGTGATTCGACTCTGGCTGGTTCCGGTTGGACTGTGGTGCAACGTCGTCAAGATGGCAGTGAAAACTTCAATCGTAACTGGCAAGATTATCGCGCCGGGTTTGAAGATTTGCGTGGCGAATTCTTTATGGGCTTGGAGATATTGCATCTGATGTATATACATCTCGAGGATTTTCATAATGTAACGCGATATGCACATTACAATTACTTTGTCATAGGCATCGAGCATGAATCGTATAAGATAGAGGGTCTTGGCGAATATTCAGGAAATGCGGGTGATGCATTGTTGCCGCACAAAAACTGTGAATTCTCCACACCCGATCGACCCGATGACGGGCAATCGAATTGTGTTGTAATTTATCAATCTGGCTGGTGGTTCCATAGTGGTTGTTATATCTGGTAAACTATTCAAAGATTCTTTTAATTTAAATTAGTTCTTAATGTTGTGCATTTTAGTAATCTCAATGGCCAATATATTAAGCAGAATATTGAGAATTGAAAAGCCATCGAGTGGAGAACTTGGCATTTTAGACCTCTTAAGTTTGTTCAAATGATGATCAGACCGAATAAATAATTGACACAAT